TGATTTGTGTTTCTATGAGTTTGTTTGTTTTTAGATTCTGCATGTAAGTGAGCTCATCGCTGCCTTTTCCTCACTTACTTCTCACTCCTAGTGATGGAGAATTTCCTCCATTCCAAAGCTTCCGTTCTACCTTTCGACTATCCTGTTGTTTCCTTTTAATCTCTCTGTCTCTTTCTCTCCTTCAGTTTTACCCATTCAGTCCTAACTCCAACCCTTGGAGTCATCCAAAACATATTTTTACATTGAAGAAGTTCTGTAAAATATTTGGTGCTGCACAAAGGTGACTCTGGTTGATGATATAGTTACCTATTTTTGAAGCCAAAAGCTACTCTTGGCTTCCCTACCTCTAGGGAAACCTTATTGGACCCAGATCAGGGACTAGAAATATAACGGAAACAGGGCCAATTGAAATCAACTCCACCCAACCAAAGCTGGCATCCTTTTTTCCTCTGAGCCCAGATGGGCAGCCAAGTGGCTAATCAGTTCTCTCGGGGACTTGTCATACCCCATAATTAGAGACCCAATGGTACCTTGGAGAGTATGGGTCTTGCTTTAGAGTCCTGTTGAGTCCTTCCCTTGGTGGCCAAATAAAGTAGCTACATCCAAATTTTATTTATCTTTTTGACCAATACCACAGTGCTCCAGGGGCCAGCAGAGATGGGTTTTATCCTTGCTACAAGCTTCTGGTCTTCGCTCTCTGACTGAAACTCAGAGTTTAAGGATTTTTAGGTGAGTCTGCTCTTTGCCTTTCTTTATAAATAGTTCACAGTGAATCCTTGAGTCTCAGAATAGGAGGGTTGGAAACACCCTTGAAAATGGGCAAGGTGGAGGGGTGCTCTTCCCTGCTGCTCTGACTTTAACTAGAGGAGCTGGACTTGACCTATTTTATAAACCTGGAATTCTACAGAAGATCTCATTTTGAAAAAGTTTCTGCTACTTACTAATGGAAATTAAGACAGGAAGAAAGAAGGAAGAGAAATGCAGTAGAAAACAATGATCTGAGTTAATTTCTTGTATATGCAGGGGGTAAGAAGATTAAGATCCAGAAAGGCATATGTCTTTTCCCAAGGTCACACAGCCAAAAGGTAGGAGCAACAGGACTCGAATGAGCAGTTTTGTTTCTAGCCTATTCTAGGCTCATGAATGTGTGCATGTGTATGCCCACAATGTAAAAATATCATCTAGTTTCCTTGGGTTCTCTCCAGGGATCACTGAAACTCCAGGTTTTAGAATAAGCTAAAGCAGAAAGGGCTATTCCTGGAAAATGAGATTTAGGTTCTAATTTCACCTCTGATACCAAACAGCTATATAATCACTCTCAGACCACACAAACTAATGTGTGTGTGTGTGTATGTACGTGTAAATAATGTGCGTATATATATATATATGCATATTAGTTATATAATTATAAGGTAATTTAATGTATGTCATGTACTCTCTTTCTTTACCTTCACCTTCAGATAATTCAGGTCACAGTAACCAGGTTATCAATATAATAATCCTATAAAAAATTGACAGTCGACATGTATCCCACTCTAAAAATGTAACAGACTAGATATCATAGAACCTTGAGGCTGAAGTAGCAAGAATCAGGGTGAAACTTGCTAAAACATACCTTTGACAATGACTGTAAGTTGAGACATGAAGCAGGCAGACTAGTTGTCTGGCTAGATGTGGTCTCTTACTGCAGAACGAATGACGTCGTTACATCTCCGGGGGTTTGTTTCTCCATCTACCTGTTTAATTCAAATCATCATCAGTTTTCTTGCTGGCCTTGGAGGCAACTTTCCAGTCTTCCTTCTCAGCCTCTTTCACTTTCATCCACCTTCTCCACTGTCTTGGCTCTGCTCTCAGTTATATTGTTAAATATGTATTTGACATCTAGTTCCCTGTATTGTAAAGTAATTAGCCTCCAACTAATAAAAATAAATAAATAAATAAAACAACAAAAAAGTAAAATTTAAAAGAAAAGCAAAAATAAAATGTTCATGCTTTCTCTTTTGGCCATAGGGGAAAGGTCAAACTCCTTATCATGATAGTTATTCAAAGAATATGTATTGAATACGTACTATGTGCCAAGCACTGGTCTAGGTGCTTGTGATACTTCAATGAACAAAAGAGACAAAAATGCCAAAAAATCTTAATCTTCACTGAGTTTACATTCTTGTGGAGGGAGAGAGACCATAGGTAATCAAAAAAGGAATGAAGTATATGCAACATAGAGGGCGATGTATGTGTATGTGCTTAGTCGCTCAGTCGGGTCTGACTCTTTGCGACCTCATGCACTGTAGCCCGCTAGGCTCCTCTGTCCATGGGATTCTTCAGGCAAGAGTACTGGAGTTGGTTGCCATGTCCTCCTCCAGGGGATCTTCCCAACCCATGTCTCCAGCATTGCAGGCAGATTCTTTACCATCTGAGCCACCAGGGAAGCCCAGAAGAGGTGATAAATCGTATCAAAAGAATAGGGGAGGGCAAAGGTGACAGAAGTCCAGAAGTGGAGAGAAGGTTGAAATTAAATATGGACATATGAACCCATATATGCAATAATATATATATGTATACAGTATGTGCTATTATATATGCAATAGGTGCCATTATATATGCAGTAAATGTAATTATATATGAAACATTTCAACATATGTCCCCATAATCTTCACTTTCGAAGCCCTTTCACAGTTTGTTCAGCTCCTGCCATCTCTCAAATGTAGACTTAAATCTTCTCAATTCTGATTACCCTGTGCTCCGGCCATGCTAACATTTTAAAGGTTCCTTAAATGCTATGTTCTGCTGTGCTTTGCAAATGCCTTTTTTCATTTTTAACACAAAGCTCTTGAGTGAACCACCTGTCAACCACTCATACACAAAATTTTCATTCTGGTAACTCCTCCCTCATTGTTGGAACCGTCAAACGCATTTCCTCTGAGAAGCTGTGCCCCAGACCCAGGGCGCTGTACAAATACTGCTCTTGGCACGCCTGACACACTGGGGAGTGGTTTGTTTATTTCCTGACTATCTCGTGCAATATGCTGACTATTTTGAACTTAACAGCAATGTTTTATTACTTTCTACATCATCTTCATTTCTCTGTCAAACACACGGTACAAGGTCAGTTGATAACATTGAGTGTAAACATTTCACAGCACTGAGCTTTTTTTCCTTACCCTTTCTTTAATTTCTAAAGGGGAAGCCAGTTTTTCATATCCTTAAGTGCTTCATTACTCTGCTTTAGGGAAAAAGAACATCTTGACTCCATAAAGCCTGGTTGGAACAGACAATGATGATAAGAAATGCAAAATTGCCTCTCTAGGAATTTCTTTTCAAAAAAGAAAAAAATCTAGTATAAATCTGAGTGGCTCAATAATCGAATCACAAAGCTTGTTGTTCAGTCACTCAGTCGTGTCCAACTCTTTGTGACCCCATAGACTGCAGTACACCAGGCTTCCCTGACCCTCACCGACTCCCAGAGCTTGCTCAAACTCATGTCCATTGAGTTGGTGATGCCATCCAAGCATCTCATCCTCTGTCGTCCCCTTCTCCTCCTGCCTTCAATCTTTCCCAGCAGTAGGGTCTTTTCCAATGAGTCAATTCTTCGAATCAGGTGGCCAAAGTATTGGAGCTTCAGCTTCAGCATCAGTCCTTCCAGTGAACATTCAGGACTGATTTCCTTTAGGATGGACTGGTTGGATCTCCTTGCAGTCCAAGGAAGTCTCAAGAGTCTCCTCCACCACCACAGTTCAAAAGCACCCATTCTTCAGCGCTCAGCTTTCTTTATAGTCCAACTCTCACATCCATACATGACTACTGGAAAAACCATAGCTTTGAGTATACTGACCTTTGTCAGTAAAGTAATGTCTCTACTTTTTAAAGTGTTGTCTAAATTTATCATAGCGTTGCTTATAACAACTGAATAAAAGGGGGGGGGTGATATTTAATCCCAGTGCTATGAATAACTGCCTGTGATAAAGCTGTGATATGGACAGTGAAGGTGATGATCCAGATAATGTAAACATGCCAGTCTATTCTGGGGGCGGTCACTTTTGCATAAACAAATGAGATCAGGGTGATGATAATCTTTTGGAAAAACCCAACAACTGCTGTAGAGGGGATTTCTGCATTGGGTGGAGGTAAGACATTTGTCTTTCACTGTCTCTTTGGGCTCTGAGGGTCTAGGATTCCATGACAGAACCAAATGGTTTCTTTACCTGGGTTTTCATTGCCTCAGGAATCGCATTTTGGGGCTCTGAAGGCAGCAGAGAGAAGAGAGATGGTCCTGGGGCAGAACATCAGCCTGATGACCAATTTCATCCTTTTAGGATTTTCAGAGCACCCAGAGCTTCAGGTTATCCTCTTCATTCTGTTTCTGGGGATCTTCTTCATGACTCTGGCGTGGAACCTGGGCCTTATCGTCCTGATCGCCGTGGAGTCACACCTCCACTCCCCCATGTATTTCTTCCTCGGCAACTTGCCCTCCACTGACCGCTCATATACCTCCTCCATAGCCCCTAAGATGCTCTGTGACTTCTCCAAGGAGCAGAAGACCATCTCTTTGGCGGGCTGTGCCGCCCAGCTTTTCTTCTTCCTCGGGATGGGGGGCGCGGAGTGCTGCCTCCTGGCAGCCATGGCGTCCGATCGGCTCGCCGCCATCTGCAGCCCTCTGCTCCACGCAGCCCTCGTGACCCCGCGTCTGCGTGCGCATGGCCGTCGCGGCGTACACCGGGGGCCTCCTCACCGGACTGGGCCAACCGGCTCCGTATTCCGGCTCCACTTCTGTGGGCCACGGTCATTCGCCACTTCTGTGACCTGCCTCCCCGACTGGTCTCGTCCTGCTCCAGCCCCTTCCTCAGCCGGGGAGTGAACTGGCTCCTTGTGTGTGGCTGGCGGGACATCAGCCCTTGTTGTCCTGGCTCCCTATGGATGCATCATCGCTGCAGTCACGGGGAGCCGCTCAACCCCAAGACGGGCAAAAGCTTTCAATACCTGCGCCTCTCACTTGAGCACAGTGACTCTCTTCTACGGCTCTGGTCTCCTCGCGTATCTCCACTCCAGTGCTGGCTACTCACCGGGCCAAAATGTGGTGTCCTTGTTCCATGGCGTTGTCAGTCCCATGCTGAGCCCCATCATATACAGTTTGAGAAACAAGGAGGTAAAAGATGCCTTGAAAAAACTCAGGAAAGAAGCCGACGTCCACTCTGTGTCTTATAGTTCCCTGAATTAAAAAACAATTCAAGTTTTCCTATATGTACCTTGGCATAATGATAAGCGGTGCTATTATTAGTCATAATAGGAATCTGAGTAATAAGTTAAAGAAGCTATTTCAGATAAGACCCCCCAACCTTCAAGTCTACTGCACAATTAGGCTCCACAAAGATTTGTTTATTGCTTTTACTCTTCTTGTCATAGACTGGTGGGGTTTCCATTTTGATCATTTGCAATAGAAAGTAATGTATTTTTTACTTTGGAAGTTTATTTGTATCATTTCTTTTTAGAGTCCACTTATAAGGAATGTCATACAATATTTCTCTTTCTCTGTCTGACTTACTTCACTCAGTATGACACTCTGTAGGTCCATCCATGTGGCTAGATGCAAATGGCATTATTTCATTCTTTTTGATGCCTGAGTAATATATTTACCACATCTTCTTTATCCATTCCTCTGTCAATGGACAATTAGGTTGCTTCCATGTATCTTTGATGATGCCCCTTAGCTTTATGGCCTTAGGCATTGTGTGGCTGATACCTTAGAGCCAGCTGGAGCATGGCCTTAGGACCACGAACATTCATTAGAGACCTCTTTACAAAGTACAACTCATACCAACTCATTCATGACTTGGGACAAATGTTTTGTTCCCCTTGCCTTGGGTACTTATCTATCCAAAGGTTGATCCTGACCAGGAAGGCTGACTCCAGATTAGGAACCTGAGAGCCCTCACTGAATTGGGTTTAGCAATGGTTACTCAGAGCCAGCAAAGCAATAAGATACATGTAGACTGTGTGTGAAAAGAGATTAAGGTCACATCTGTGGGGTCATGGGGTTCCCATGGGGCTAGAAATAAGAATCTAAACCAGCAGATCCAAAGCTGTGAGCAAGTCACAGTGAGCAAAGAGCAAAGATAAAGCAGAAGCTCTGAAGTAGAGCACAGTTCCACGTGGTTAATGCTCATGGCTGGAACCACCTAGTGACTGAGTGGGACCTGATTTAAGAAACAGTCAGAGGAGAGAGACTGCCTCCGGCAGCTCTGATTCCATGTCTGTTCCCTGGACCAGTTCTCACTCTTGACCTTGTGTAGATGTTTGGTTTATCCTCTGTTCTTACCTCATCTCCAGCTGAATTTCCCTGCATGTACTAGAGTTTGTATACTTTCTATTGTTTCTCTGGAGTTTGACCACAGCCCGGAACTTGAATCTGATAATCTTCCCGTCATTTTCATGAATTGCTTCAGAAGGGGCCCCATGCTATGACGTGGTCTGAGATAGGAAAGCCAATTCCGTGAGTCTGCAGCAGAACTGAATGTGGATTTTAATTGGTCTTTGATCCTATTTTACAAGATGGTTCTTGAGCAAAGGACAAACATTTATGAAGTCTTGCTTCTTTAGTGGTTGTGTGTACAGATCGTGGAGAACCATGACAGTCATCCTTAAGCTCCTTTGACTTTGTCTGTAACTCTTCTGCCTCAGCCCTTCTTTTAATTCATGCTGGGATTTGATCCATTCTCTGACCACTTGGGTTATTAACAGTTTATACACAGGAGGTGGCTTCCCTGGGTTCTCAGCAGTAGAGAATCTGACTGCCAGTGCAAGAGACAGGGCAGCCCACTCCAGTATTCTTGCCCTGGAGAAGGAAGGGGCAGCCCACTCCAGTATTCTTGTCTGGGAAATGCCAAGTACAGCGGAGCCTGGTGGGCTACGGTGCATGGGGTCACAAGAGTTGGACACAATTTAGCGAGTAAATAGCAACAACATATACAGGAGGGGCTATGACTTTGAAGTTCCTCTGTGAAGCCTTCCTTGGTCCCTGACTCCTTCAGACGAAGTTATGAGTTATATTCCCATAGCATCCTCTATTTTATCTATCAGCTCCTGTGAGAGTGCAGTTTTTTCTTTTTTACTTATCTGTCTTCTACTCAAGTTGTAAACGTCTCTCTACTGTTTCCCTGAAGCATAGGATATGACTGGGATAAACTCTGTGTTAATAAGTATTTGCTTAATTAATGAATAAATCTCAACTTACTTGGCAGATGATTTAAAAATTTTATGTCAAAGGAAGGAATTAACACTTATTAGAAGCTTATTATAGGCCAGGCATTGTTCCCAAAGCTATTAAAAATTGTATTCCAACTCTATGACATATGCACAGATTGTCCATTTTAAAATATTAGAACAACATAGGTAAGAGAATGTTTCTTTTATTTTTTAATTTTTAAGGAAATATTTTTTGATATGGACCATTCTTTGGTAGAAACTTTATTTAATCTATTACAATATTGTTTCTGTTCTATGCTTTTTGGTCTTTTGGCCAGGAGGTATGTGGGATCCCAGCTCCCCAACCAGTGGTCAAACAGGTACCACTTTCATTGGAAGGCAAAGTCTTAACCACTGAACCACCAGGGAAGTCCCAGATGTTTCTTTTAAACCATAACCCTCAATTTCAATCCCTTCCTGCACTCCCCAAGAGGTAATTATGGCTTATGTTGGCATGTAAATTTATTCTTTTTCTGCTTACTAATAACCAATCAAAAATTTATAATGCTGTTTTATGTGGCTCTATATGTATTCACATAAGTGAAATTCATATTGAATGATTTTTCAATATGCTGATTTTTAAAAATTCAATCATTACTTCCTGGACCTCTTTCCATGTTATACATATAATTCTACCTCAGTCTTTTCCACTGTTTTGGAGAACTGACATGCCAAAATCTATGTACCTATTCCTCCCTGGACATTTAGGGAGTTTCCAGTTTTGGCTAATTTATTACAAAGAGTGTTGCAACATACACATTTGTATACACCCTTCCTGCTAATATGCACTTTTATGGTAAAACTGAGAAGTTGAATTGCTGCCTATAGGACATGTATATTTAAAAGTTTTTATAGACACTGCCAAGTTCTCTCTAGAGTGGCTACAAATGGAGCCTCCCGCCAGCAATGTAATAGGACAGCTATGTCATATATACCCTGGATGAAGGGTGACCACTATCAATATCAAACTGATTTTTCCCTCCCCGATGTTTCTTTAAGTGTACTCTTTTAATCCTTGAAATGACCCTGTTAGACAGGATTGTTTATTGCCCCCATTTACATACTATAGAAAGTCTCTAATATATACAATTTTTTTTTAAGTTCTCACAACCAAACTATGAGACAGAGGTTTTAATCATCTTTATCTAAGAGATAAAATATGTAAGGCTCAGGAAAGTTATATAACATATCTGAAAACACACAAGCTAAGATCTTAAGTGTATGTCTACATGATACCAAGTCCATTAATTGAAAATACATATTCTCACATGTATGCTTGGCATCATCCAGAGATGAAGAAAATATTAAAACAGATTCTGTTAAGAAAAGAAAAGACTAATTTCTCAAGTCAGGCATGATTTCAGTGCATAAAGAGAAAGGAGGATTGACTGGCTTCTGTTAAATAGTTAGGATTAGTTTCAATAAGATCACCATTAAGTTCTGTACAAGGAGTTCTAGACCAGGAACTTCATTTTAAAACAGCAATTCAAAAAGTATTATTCAAAAGTGGATTTGTTAATGGAACCATCTTATAAATGGTTTTATTCCCAAATAACTGTGAAACAGGAATCAAAGTGTTAAAACCAAAATCGAACGAATATGAATGAATGATGCTCCTCAAAGGCAGCAGCAGTGATGAAGCTCCAACCCAAGCTCCCTGGTGGTTCAGAAGGTAAAGCATCCGCCTGCAGTGCAGGAAAGCCCAGGTTCAGTCCCTGGGCTGGGAAGATTCCCCTGGAGACGGAAACGGCAACCCACTCCAGTATTCTCACCTGGAGAATTTCAGGGACAGAGGAGCCTGACAGGCTATAGTCCATAGGGTTGCAGGGAGTTGTACGCGACTCAGTGACTAAGACTTTAGCTTTCTATATTCAGGTAAAGCAAGGACCAGTTGTGCCGCAGGCTCTGGAGTAGGAGAACAGGCTAGAGAGCAATGTATCAGGATATCAGGGTCAGGGGCATAATATTATGGCAAGGTGGGCGGCTGGTGGTTGATGCTTTTAAGTCTCCCACTGGATTAAGCCAGACAAAAAAGAGGGATTAAAAAAGAGTTTACGGACAACATTGTATCAACATCCAGAATGAATGGTTTATGTTTATGTTGGAGGACCTCAGAGGAATTTTACACTCTGACGGCTTTCCTATCAGTGATTTTACTGTGATAATTCCATTAACACTGTGAATTGTACCACTAAACATGTAAACACAAGTTTTTTGTACTTTGACCACTGAGAAGTTTTGGGTTAAATCTGTGACGTCTGTAGCCAGAATTTAGGTCACTGTGATGAGTGCTTTTATTCTTGTTCCTGACTCTGATCTCTCTTTTTCTCCCACCATTCTTTTAATCTGTTATTTAGTGTTATTTTGTGCAAGCTGCTTGCTCAAACATTTTGGAGCCAAGTAGAGTAGAAAGATGACCAAAGAGTTTGCTTTGCTCACAGGTTGGTGCATTAGGCAGTGAATTCATATGGTTCTCTGGGCCATTTATATCTCTAACCTCAGCTAAAATCACATTGCTCTCCCTAATCTGCAGTCATCTCAGATGCCCCCTGCATCACTGTCCTCTTTCTCTCTATGTCTCTGCTTCTCTTCTGTCTCTGTCCGTCTGTCTCTTTCTACCTGCGTGTCTCACTGTGACTCTGTCTTATCTCTTTCTGTCTTGGAAGACCACCCTGACCCTCTGGTCCGAGTTGAGATGTTCCTCTCTGGTTACTTGTCACGGGTACTTTCTTTTTCACATAATGCATCATTGTTTGGTGTCTGTCCTCCTGTTAGGCTATAATCCCCATGCAGAGCATGTGGTGCCTGAAACATAGCACTTAAACACACAATTTTTGTGAACACATTAATAATTTTCTCCATCTCAGGACAGTTTTAGCCATCAGTAACCTCCTAGGACTAACTTGTTCCACTCCCCTCTTTTTACAAAGAATTGAGGCTCTAAGGGGTGAAATAATTTGCAGATGAGTCACAGCT